TGTGAGATGAAATTTTATAAGAGAAGTTTCTCTGATTAAATATTTATCACAATAAAAAATTTTAATATATTATTGCGGTAGATATTAATCAGAGAAACTCTATAAAATGCTCCAAATATATTATTTCACAATTATCATGATTTTTAAGGTAAATTTTAAGAAAAATTTTCTCTGTTAGACTTTCAAAGTTCAAATATAATATATAATCTCTAAAACTCACCTTTAAAAAAAGGTAAAAAAAGGCGACCAGTTAAGGGCACGCCATTAACAAAAATTATCCATTGCAAACCCATGTAGAATCCTATCCTATTGCAAACCCATGTAGAATCCTATGAAAATTAATCATTGCAAACCCATGTAGAATCCTAGGCAAAATTAACCATTGCAAACCCATGTAGAATCGTACCCATTGCAAACCTATGTAGAATCCTATGAAAAATTAACCATTGCAAACTCATGTAGAATCCTATGAAAAATTAACCATTGCAAACCCATGTAGAATTGTATTAAAAATTATCCATTGCAAACTTATGTAGAATCCTACATTGCAAACCCATGTACAATAGAATTGTATGAAAAATTATCGATTATAAACCCATGTACAATCGTAACAAAAGTAATGAATAAAAAAAAAATTGCGCCAAGTGAAAGTAGAAACTTGTACCAGTGGAAAATTAAAGTTGCAGACATATATAGAGTCGTATAATGAATCAGTAAAAATTTAAATTTGCAAATGTAGAATCGTACCATAAAAAAACTTATCTTTTAAAAAAAAAGATAAACAAGATGCCAAGTCCATGCGCCATGTGAAAAAGAAATAAAAAAATTTTAGTTAAAAAAACTGGGAGCGCTGCTAAATAATATTCTAACAATATTAAAATTAAATTGTTACTTTTAAACTCATTACAGTTAAAATATGTTTTGTGTTTAAATTAATTAATGTTACTTTAAGGTGCATTGTAATTTTGAAACTTAGCAGCGCGCCCAGTTTTTTTAACTAAAATTTTTTATTTCTTTTTCACATGGCGCATGGACTTGGCATCTTGTTTATCTTTTTTTTTAAAAGATAAGTTTTTTTATGGTACGATTCTACATTTGCAAATTTAAATTTTTACTGATTCATTATACGACTCTATATATGTCTGCAACTTTAATTTTCACTGGTACAAGTTTCTACTTTCACTTGGCGCAATTTTTTTTTATTTCATTACTTTTGTTACGATTGTACATGGGTTTATAATCGATAATTTTTCATACAATTCTATTGTACATGGGTTTGCAATGTAGGATTCTACATAAGTTTGCAATGGATAATTTTTAATACAATTCTACATGGGTTTGCAATGGTTAATTTTTCATAGGATTCTACATGAGTTTGCAATGGTTAATTTTTCATAGGATTCTACATAGGTTTGCAATGGGTACGATTCTACATGGGTTTGCAATGGTTAATTTTGCCTAGGATTCTACATGGGTTTGCAATGATTAATTTTTCATAGGATTCTACATGGGTTTGCAATAGGATAGGATTCTACATGGGTTTGCAATGGATAATTTTTGTTAATGGCGTGCCCTTAACTGGTCGCCTTTTTTTACCTTTTTTAAAGGTGAGTTTTAGAGATTATATCATTCATTTTTGTATATTTTTATGACCGGAATAGAACAATTATTAAACATGTTTATCTAAACTTCTTTGCTTAAAATGATGTGTACATCATATCCTAGAATCCTGATCATTTCTCCTAAAGCACCCTATTTATATAAATTTACCCATATGTGTGTGTGTGTGTGTGTGTGTGTGTGTGTGTGTACTAATGTCGAGCATTTTTTATACATTTTCTATTAAATTTAGATAAAAGTTGCAGGATTTCGAAAAAAAAAAAGTTGACACAGACTTTTTCCTAACGGCATTTTCAAGGTTATTTAAAGGTCACTTATATTTTCAAAATAGAATTACCTTAATTTTCTCATATAAATCGATTCCTCGCAATATTTACTATAAAAAGTTGTAAAGGTATAATTTTTACATAATCTTACATAAACTTCGAAATATTACAAATATTTTATTTTATGAAATATTTCAGTTTATGTAAAATTATGTTAACTATCTTTTAAATTATTCACTTTTAGCCATCTTACCCTTACAACCTTTTATAGTGAATATTGCAACAAATTGGTTTATATATATAATATATATGTTTGAAACGCATAATAGAAACTACATGTAATAAAATATTATATCTTAAATAGAATATTCTAGAATATTCGCTTCCGATCGCAAGTCAACAGGCATATCGTTTTTATATGTTTTTTTTTGAAAACATATCGCGACATAAATTATCCTGTCGTACAAAAACACGCTCGAAATATAAACAATTAACGGTGTCGCAACCGTTCCGCCGAATAATTATTTTTATTGAGCATGCGCGGCTTCTCACGGGCGCCTCGTTTCGCCAATAATCATCGTGATCGCCAGCTCGCGCATGCTTTCTAACAGCCGTTGTTCTGTCAATTTGACAGCGGCCAATTACGCGTAATACGCTCAGGTCACCTCGCGCAACTTTAAAAGACGCAAAATTATTGGCGCTTTCCGAAAAGGTGGGTTTTTGCGGAAACCCATAAAAGAGAGCTCACCCGAAATCAGGGCTTTATCGCTTTTTCCGCCGTGAACCGCATAACGCAAACCGCTTATCAGATAAACCGCAAAATTCGTTGACGACCGCCGCTTATTCCGCACTTTGATTTGATTTCGATTTTCTCTGTAAATTAATTAAGATTGTAAAAGTTTGTTGAAGTGTTCGTTTTCTAATTGTTTTATAATATTAAAGTCAATTTAGTACAAAGATTGACTCATCCTTTCGTGCAGCGCGATCCTTTCTCACGCAGCGCGTTCGTGAACATATTTTGGTCCTTCGAGCCGGATCCGTCGCACCGGCAACCGCAAGTTCGCGAGCGTGACTTCTCGTGTGAGTGAAGGTGTGAACGTCTGGGTGTGCAGCCGTCATGGATGTGTCCACGCTGGTCGATTGTCAGCGTGAGATTCAAATCCGAATCTCACGCTCCGTAGAGTACCTGAAGAAGCTGGGCAGCGCCAACATCACCACCAGTGCTATCGCCACACGCACCAGAATCCTGGATCAGCTGTGGGCAAAGTTCGAGACGCAGCACGACCTTATCCGAGCGGCCCTGAAAGACAAATTCAGTGAGAGCGAGTATTTCCAATCAGATTTCCACGCAGATACAGAAAATCTGTATGTAAGTCAGCGAAGCATACTTGATGGCTACGCCGAACACTTTCGTGCACCGAACGTAGCTCCTTCTGCCGACGTCACGCCACGGTCGTCACTGCCGCGCATCAAGGTACCGCCATTCTCTGGTGCTTACGCTGATTGGCCGTCGTTTCGGGATCTCTTTCTCTCCGTCGTGAGTGGCAACGCGATCTCCAACATCGAGCGCTTCCATCACCTCCGCTCATGTCTGACGGGACCGGCTGAAAAGTTAATAAAGTCGTTACCCGTCACTAGCGACAATTATGAGCGTGCTTGGGCGATACTGGACAAGCACTACAACAATAAAAAAGAATTGATCCGCTCCAACTTTGCCACGTTCATCGCCGTGCCAAAGATGAAGGGAGATACCGCAGAGGAGTTGAGACGCATCCACAACGCCGTTACTGCCACCGTCAACGGTCAGGAGAGCATCGGGCGTCCAATAAACTCCCACGGGATGGACCTCTTCAACTTCCTGGTGACGGAGCTTTTTGATGCACGCACACGTCTGGAGTGGGAGTCGTCCATTTCAGACTCATCAGAGCCAGCACAGAACGAGGCACTCGTTGACTTTATCAGTCGGCGGATCCTGACGCTCAATGCCGCACGACCAAAGGGCGTCAGCAAACCGTCCGGAGATGCTCCACGGATCGCCAAGGCACACGTCACGAAACACCAAGGATCTGAACCGCCGCACTGTGCACTGTGTCGCGAGAACCACACCTTGATGGCCTGCCGAGACTTCAAGGCCAAGACAGTCAACGAGCGTAAGGCGTTCATAGAGACAAGCAAGCGCTGCTACAATTGCTTAGGCAACCACTTTCTATCTCGCTGCCAGTCGAAGAAGAACTGCCTCACATGCGACGCACGACACCACACGATGTTGCACGGAGCACCGACGTCTTCACTGTCAGCTGAGGCCACCACACGCGCCACCACACTGACCACGACTCTGCAACATCAGGATCACAAGGCCGTTCTTCTGGCAACAGCTCGAGTGAACATCGCCGATCGGTACGGGTCCCCACACGCCGTACGCGCTCTGATCGACCAATGCTCTGAGGTGTCGATCATTTCAGAGACCTTGGCACAACGCCTTCGCCTTCCTCGAGTTTCGACGGATCTTTCGATCTTCGGCATCGGAGGGACCCGCTCAGGATCCGCTCGAGGCAAAGTAACGCTGCACGTAACGTCAGACGTGACCAACGCCGAGCTCAGCGTGGTAGCCTTTGTGCTGCCTCGCATATCACTGCAGCAAGGATCAGTCTCACGAGGAGAACGCAGCTGGCCTCATCTCAAGGGACTCCAACTGGCCGATCCTCGTTTTTTGGACGACGACCCAGCTGAGTTACTCTTAGGAGCCGAGGTCTATTCCTTGATCCTCGAGGAGGCCTCCGCAAAGGAGATTCAAGGATGCCGATCGCCCAGCAAACAAGCCTGGGGTGGATCCTCTCTGGCGGATACGACGCCGCATCAGTCAACGGACATCGCCGCACATTCCGATGCACCGCCGATCATGACCTCGCCGACCTCGTTCGCCGCTTTTGGGAGCAGGAGAGCGAGCCAATATCTCAGGCTCCACTCACTCCTGACGAAACCAAGTGCGAGGAGCTTTACGTGCGCACCGTCACACGCACGCCCACCGGAAGATACATGGTGAGACTGCCTCTTGCATCACCGCCGACGACTCTTCAAGACACTCGCCGCCCTGCGGAGCACCTCCTGAAAGCCATGGAGTCCAAGGGCAGCCGAGACCCTCGATTTGGCGACCTCTATCGCAGCTTCATGCAGGAATACGAGGACCTGCAACATATGAAGAGGGTAAATATCGCAACAACAGCTGAGAAGATCAGATGCTACTTACCGCATCACGGGGTCCTGAAGGAGGCGAGCACGACGACGAAGCTCCGAGTCGTGTTCAACGGCTCTCAACGGACACGAACTGGGAACTCGCTGAATTCGCATCTGCTGACTGGGGCGAATTTGCTGCCCGCTCTCACCGACGTGCTGCTGCGATGGCGTTGGCACCGATATGTCTTCGTCACAGACATCGAGAAGATGTATCGCCAAATTCTCGTACATCCTGAGGACTGCAGCCTTCAAACGATACTGTGGCGTCAACACAAAACGAGCGAGATCCAGGAGTACGAGCTGCTGACGGTGACCTACGGCATGGCGTGTGCACCGTTCCTGGCCATCCGAACGCTGCGGCAACTCTGTGCGGACGAAGGGGCGCAGTTTCCTCAAGGGGCCACAGCACTTCGGCGAGATTGCTACGTCGACGACGTAGTCACCGGAGCGGACGACCTCGGCGATGCCGTCAACCTCCAGACAGAGCTGCGCAATCTCTGCATGGCGGGCGGATTTCCGCTGAGGAAGTGGGCTTCAAACAATCCGGACGTCCTCAGCGGAGTCCCACAGGAGCACCGGCTGCAGCAAGGACCACATTCCTGGGACGACGAGAGCCATTCGACCTTGGGTCTGCGATGGCATCCTCAAGAAGACCGGTTTGCCTTCGCCATACATCCTCGTGTAGTCAGCGAGTTTACGAAGCGACGAGTCCTCGCAGAGACTGCACGGCTGTTTGACCCGATGGGCTGGCTCGCACCTGTCGTGATTCGGGCGAAGATCCTGATCCAGACCACCTGGCTTCAGCAACTCGACTGGGACACTCCACTACCTGCCAAGGACGTCAAACGTTGGCAACAGCTGCTGAACCAGCTACCTCTGCTCAGCAACATACGGGTGAATCGCTGGCTCAGCACCGACAGCGATTACTCCACGTTGCAGATCCACGGCTTCGCAGATGCATCAGAGCGAGGATATGCTGCCGCCGTTTACATCCGCAACTCTGGAAAGAAACAAATCACAATCAATTTAATCATGGGAAATCCAAAGTCGCGCCCGTCAAGCCAGTTTCGTTGCCTCGCCTTGAACTGTGCGCTGCTGTGCTACTCACCACGTTGACGTTGCATATCCGAAACACCCTCGGCTTGACATCAACTCCAGTGCACCTGTGGTCCGATTCCAAGGTCACTCTCCATTGGATCCAGGGACACGCCGCTCGCTGGAAAACGTTCGTCGCCAACCGGGTGGCTCACATCCAGACTCAGCTCCCGGACGCTCAGTGGAGACACGTGGCCGGGAAGGACAATCCTGCAGATTGCGCATCACGAGGAATTAATCCGGAAGAGTTAGTCAATCACACGCTATGGTGGACTGGACCTACCTGGTTGGCATTGGACGAGACAGCGTGGCCCAGCTCAGAGGTCCACATCGCAGAGGACGACCTTCCGGAACAACGCACCACCAGCCTGATGACCAAGGGTGCCGTCATCGTTGAACCGGATCTTCTCCTTCGGTTCTCCACACTCCATCGGCTGCTGCGCGTTACGGCCTGGTGTCGTCGATGGCTCAACGTGGCGAGCCGAGAGGTCACACTTGGTCGTCCGCTGCATCCTGACGAGCTGGACGCCGCCCTACTTCAGTGGCTTCGAATTGTGCAGGCACTCCACTTCCCGGACGAGATAGCCGCTGCCACCGCGGGACGTCCCGGTCCACCACGCAGTTCACTGATCAAACTCAGTCCATTCCTCGACGACCAAGGTGTACTGCGCGTAGGAGGGCGCCTCAAACACGCTCTGCTGCCTTACGACGAGAAGCACCCGGTGATCGTTCCGCCGGCCTCCTGGATGACGCGACTGCTCATCGAGTCCTGCCATCGTCGGTCTCTACACGGCGGCGTCCAGATGACTCTCGGCTTGCTTCGTCTTCGATTCTGGGTGCCACGAGGAAGGACCGTCATTAAGCAGCAACTTCATCGGTGCGTCACTTGCACTCGCTGGCGAGCGGCCACTCCACAGCCTCCAATGGGCAACCTTCCGCGTGACCGAGTGACGCCGACTCGGCCATTCCTGAGCACTGGCCTGGACTACGCGGGACCCATCTTCATCCGGACCAGCAAGGGGCGCGGACACCGCTCACAGAGAGGATACATAGCTGTCTTCGTATGCTTTTGGTCGAAGGCTATCCACCTCGAGGTCGTCTCGGACTACAGTTCCGAGGCCTTCATCGCCGCCTTACGCCGCTTCGTCTCCCGCAGAGGCCTGTGTACGGACGTGTACAGCGACTGCGGCACGACGTTCGTCGGCGCCGATCGCACCCTGCGCGAGCTCTTCAAGGCGTCATCTTCCGAGGGCCATCACATCGCTCGCGCCGCCAACAATCAAGGGATCCGCTGGCACTTTAATCCGCCAGCGGCCCCTCACTTCGGTGGTCTGTGGGAGGCTGCCGTAAAATCCACAAAATTCCACCTCCGTCGAGTAATCGGCGAAACCACCCTCACATATGAGGAACTTAGCACACTCCTCACGCAAATCGAGGCGTGTCTTAATTCTCGTCCGTTGCAGGCTTTATCAGACGATCCGGACGACACTTCGGCGCTCACACCAGGCCACTTCCTCATCGGGGCGCCGCTATTAGCCGTACCTGAGCCATCGTTGACTGGTCAACCAGCATCCACTCTGTCACGCTGGCGTCATCTCCAATTGATGCGAGACCATTTTTGGCAGCGTTGGTCAGCGGAGTACGTGCACGGCCTCAACCCCCGCACCAAATGGGTCAAGGCCGAGGCCGCACCTCACGTGGGGGACCTCTGTCTCATTCGTTCGGAGCTCACCCCTCCGACTCGATGGCCTCTCGCACGGATCACGATACTGCATCCCGGGGACGACGGTATCGTCCGCGTGGTTTCGGTCCGCACCGCCACATCCGAATTCGTGCGCCCGCTCGTTAAATTAGTCATGCTTCCGGGCGCGGATCGTATTCCTGGCATGACTAACGCGGACACGTCGTCCGCCGGCACGTAATTCATCTCGCGACACTTTTCACCTCATGCATTGTATCACTTGTCACATCTCATTTTTTTTCATCCATCACCGCACTTACATTTGATCCATCACCGCACTGATAATTGTTCCGTCATCGCACTGCACTACACAACTCACCAAACACGCGGTTTCATTGCCTCAGCTGATCACCACATGTTCATTGTATCAGCTGATCGATTCACTTACCACGCGATCATCACGTGTATTTCTCCGCGCCTGCGCGTCTACCCCACCATCGATCACTATCGACTCGAGATTCCGCGGCCGAAATTCCACACATGTTGTCACTGCGCGACAAGGCGGGCGGGAATGTTCAAAACGCATCAGAAAATACTAGCCGTGGAATAAAATAAAATATTCTGTTCGAATAATATTTTATAAGATTCTAGAATAATCGATATTTACAGCAAATCGTTTTTTGTATGTTTTTCGCGGAGAAACACAGCGACATAAATCAATCTGTCTCAAAAAAACATTCCTCAAAATATCAACAATTAACGGTATCACAACCGTTCCGCCGAATAATTATTTTCAGTGAGCATGCGCGGCTTACCACGGGCGCCTCTTTTCACCAATAATTATCGCGATCACCCGCGCGCGCATGCTTTCTGCCAGCCGTCTTCCGTTAATTTTGACAGCGGCCAATAATGAGCTGTGCCCTCGAGTCACCTCGAGCACACTTAAAATTGCTCGCAATAATTGGCGCTTCCCGAAAAAGTGGGTTTTCTTCGGAAACCCATAAAAGAGAGCTCGCACCCGAAATCCGGGCCTTATCGCTTTTCCGCCGTGAACCGCATAACGCAACCGCAGATTTGTAAAACCGCTAAAATTCGTTGACAACCGCCGCTTATTCCGCACTTTGATTTTGATTCCGATTTTCTCTGTAAATTAAGTAAAATTGTAAAAGTTTGTTGAAGTGTTCGTTTTTAATTGTTTTATAATATTAAAGTCAGTTTAATACAAAAAGGTGACTCATCCTTTGGTGCAGCGCGATCCTTTCTCTCGCAGCGCGTTCGTGAACAGTGTGTATGCGAAGATTGTATTTCAGAGAAGGAGGGCGATGCTGAAAGGAGGATAAGAGAAGCCGATGTTCCCGAGGAACATAGGCCGACCACTGCCTGGGAGGTGTAGGCCTCCGAAAGCTGGGAGTGGTCTCGGCCACGAAGATCCAACCAGTGATCTTGACTGGTACCACGGGAGTCGGGTTGCCCAGGGGGATTCGTCCCTCGTCCCGGCAATTGAGGTCGGACTCGTGAGGGTAGTGGTTGAAGCCGCATGCTGGTTAGGGGCTCTCGGGCCTCGACGGGTGAGCAGTGTATCTGCTCGGGCACCAGTCTTGCACAGCTGGTAGAGCGTTGGATAGGCGCTCGCCCCAACCGGTGGGTTGCCGAAGAGTCCTACAAACTCGGAGGCGCTACTGGTAGTTCCTGGCCTGCTGGAACGAGCTGATTGGGCTTATCCCAATTCCGCACCCATGGGGTCGTGTGATTAAGCTCTCTGAGCAGGTACCGCACGTTAAATCAACCACGGACATCTGTCCCTATCTACTTTCCCCAGGGGGCTACTGACGATTCGACAGTAGTACGGGCATGACGCACCCGGGGCCCCGAGGTTCCTCCCAAGCCAGGATGGGAGGCATCGTGTCTGGGGCTGCATGGCCGCGGGGAGGTTAAGTTGCGCGACCGCAAACGATCCGCCAGGGGCACCTGGCGCAACCTCTGTGGTATATAAGTCACTTTACCCAGGTGATGGAGGCTCTGCCTGAGTGGACATTTTTTTTCTGCCATACTCGTGGGATATACATGGAAAGAACAAAACTCAAACAAAAACACAAAAACTTGGCTGATACTTCGGTAACGACTAATGCTGGCACGAAAGTAACCGAAACTCTGAACGCCGAAAAAGAGAGAGAAAGAGAATTGCTGTTTGCGCGAAGGGGATCTGTAAGTAGATCACCACCTCCTTCGGGTAGTACCCAAAAAGACACTGAAGAGACGCATGAAGGGAACACAAGGCTGAGTGATTCTGAAAATGAGGAGGATGGATATGAAAGATTAGAACAGAGCACAGGAGTAAATGAAGTAGAGGAGATGATGGAGACAAGGAAACAGCTCGAGACATTCATGTTTAATGATAACAACAAAATAACAAAATCTGCAATAAAATACATATTGTCCAAATGGGCAGTACTAGAAAATAGACTACATAATGTAGTTTTAGAAAAAGAAAAATGGAAAGCTGCTTACCAAGCTGTTGCTGACTTGAGGCCTAAAGGACTCTCCTATGCTAATGTTACGGCAGGAACTCCAAGGACTGCTACAGGTGCTGTAAAAGAAAAAGAAAGAAGGTCAGATACTACGCACAAAGTAGTACTAATTAAACCTATAAAAGAAGACGAAGATGCGAGAACGAATAGTGAAATAAAGAAGGAGGTTATAAAGGAACTGACAAGTACAAATAAAAGGCTGAGGATAAAGGCAATAAGGCAAATGAGAGGAAAAGGAGTAGTGGTGGAGGTGGATGAAAGAGACGGGGACTTTGTGAAAAGAATAAACCTAACAACAAAGAAATTGAAAGTAGAGGAGCCAAGGAAAATAAATCCTACTCTTATAATTTATGACGTAGACAGGGAATATAAGTTTGAAGATCTCAAAGAAGATTTCATACTTAAAAACTGTGACGATCCGGATCCAATCAAAATAGAAGAATACAAAAAGGATTGTGTGGGAGTAACTATGACTCTCTCGGTCCTCAAAGCAACACGCTGCGATGGTACTTAGAGAGAGTCGTGGTTGGTTCGTGATGCGCCAACGAAGTCCTCTAGTAAGGACCTTCAGCCTCTCACGTCCAAGTTGTACCTCCACCTCCTCGTGGTGCTCCCGGAAACGGCCTACTTTGGAAGTTTAGACTCGGTAAGTGTCGACTAAGAGAGTGTACAGCGAAGTGCGCCCCTAAGGGCTTCGGCCCATGCGCCTACGGTCATGGTGAGTTGTGGGGCCAAGAAAGACCGGGGTTTCTTGGGGGGCTCTCGGTTGTCAATCCGTTTGCCCCCCTACACGCAGTTAATTATGGAGAGAAATTTGAATGAGAATACTGTCCCGGGTTCTCGGATGGCCCGGGGACTGCGTGCGAGTGCTCGCTTGAGTGAGCGCGCGAGAGGTGCGGAGGACCCTGACGGGGTCGCAGCTGGTCCGTCGCGAACCACTATAAGGACCAGCCAGGCTGAAGTGGACAGCCTAGAGGAGGAAATGGTCAGCTGTGAGCAGTGTTCGGCGAGGTTCCGGAACATGCGTGGTCTTGGTGTCCACAAAGTACGTGCTCACCCACTACAAGCCAACAGTGCTATCAATGTTGACCGCGTAAAGGCCAGATGGTCAGTGGAGGAAACTAGACTCATGGCACGCGCTGAGGCTGAAGGCATCTTAGCCGGGGAGCTTTTCATTAACCAGTATCTGGAGACAAAGTTCCCCAATAGGAGTCTCGAAGCCATCAAGGGTAAACGGCAACAGGAGCCTTACCGAGTGATGGTTAGAGACTTCTGCCAAAAGATCCAATCGCGTCGCGCGATTGTGATCGATGAGGGCGATAGGGATGGTGCGGTGATGACACGAGCCGACACCATTCCTGCGGCCACTGAGGCTAGTACTGACGATCAAAGCGCACATCAGCCTCCCCCTGAACAAAGTTCTCAGAGGCTGCGGGACAAGATACAATCACTCGTAGAGCAGAGTGCGGCGTTCCGTAGCTACGAGGCTGATACTCTTGCTGGCACGGCAAGAGATGCTCTGACGGCGGGGAGGGTCGACGTCTTGGCTATCGAGAGATGGCTGGGCATGATCTTCCCTCGGCCGCTACAAGTGCGCCCTCCGCAACGCGTTTCGGCAAAGAAGCACTGTCCTCCAGTCAAGCGAGAGAGCAGGGAGCAGAGGAGAAAGTGGGAGTATGCAATTGTGCAATCCCTCTACAAGAAGAACAAGAAGTCCTGTTTGTCGCGTATCCTCGAGGGCGACTCGGTGCGCGAGAGGCCGTCTGCTGTCGAATTCTTTAACTGCTGGCGCCCCATTATGGAGGCCTCCAGCGGTGCGGATGGAGACATGACGGACTTGCGTGAGTCGTTTGGGGAGGCGGCACAGGCTGCGAGTGCTGGCCGGGGCCGTACGTCAAGTTTGAGAGGGATTCACCTCGAAGGTCTCGGCGATGGCGCTGCCACGGATCCAGTTCCTGTGGCGGATAAGACCTTGCTCTGGGATCCTATAACACCTGCAGAGGTAAACAGGATTTCCGTAAGGACTGGCACTGCGCCTGGATTGGACCAGATTACGCCAAGGATGTGGAACGCTGTTCCTGCGATTCTTCGTGCGCTTCTGTTCAATCTGCTGCTCCTGGCAGAGACGATCCCCTCGTCAATCGCCACAACCAGAACGGTATTCCTTGAGAAGGGGGGTATGTCCGATCGGCCAGGTCCGACGGAGTACCGTCCTCTCAGCATAAGATCCGTTATAACAAGACACTTCCACAAGATATTGGCAAAGAGATTGGCAGCCCTCGACATCTTCGACAAGCGCCAAAGGGGGTTCCGGCCGGTGGACGGGGTATGTGAGAACGTCACAGTCCTTTCATCCGTGCTTTGGGACGCCCGGAGGCGTTGTCGTTCTCTGCATGTGGCGTGCGTTGATCTGTCGAAAGCTTTCGATACGGTTGCGCACGCTGCTATTCATACGACTCTCGATGAGCTGGGGCTCCCTCGGGAGTTTAGAGAGTACGTAAGGGCTGTCTATTCGAATGCGCTGACCGAGTTGCAGGGGGTCAGCGCTGAGGAAGTGTCGGCCATCAAGATCGGCCGTGGCGTGAGACAGGGTGATCCGTTGTCGCCCCTGCTGTTCAATCTGGTCGTAGATAGAGCACTAGGAATTCTCTCGGAGGACGTTGGCTATCGGTTGGGTGGCCGGCTTATCAATGCGCTGGGCTACGCAGACGAC